AGTGCTGGAATCACAGGTGTAAGTCACTGAGTTTGGCCATTATTCCATTTCTGTACACAAAAACCTTTCTCATTCTGTGCTATAACTGGTTAGCATTCAATTGGATGGATGTGGTACAGCTAGTGCCTTGTTGATATTGATGCATATTTATGTGGTTTTGCTATTATAGACAACGGTCCCTTGCTATTATAAACCACACTGCTATAAGTAACCTTGCATCTAAATTACTTCAAACGTGTAACTATATGGGTAGGATAATTCCTAGCAGTGGAATTGTGAACCAAAGTTTTAGATGCATTTGTAATTTTGATTTACAACCAATCTTTTCACTGATCTACATCTCTGCCTCTAATTTCTACTAGGTTATGTATTTATTTATTTATTTATTTATTTTGAGACAGGGTCTTGCTCTGTCACCTGGGCTGGAGTGCAGTGGTGGGATCACCGCTCACTGCAGCCTCAACCTCCCACCTCAGCCTCCTGAAGAGTTGGGGTGTGCAGCAGGTGTATACCACCACATCCAGCTTTTTTATTGTTGTTTAACAGAGATGAGGTCTCGCTATATTGTCCAAGCAGGTCTTACACTACTGAGTGCAAGTGATCCTCCTGCCTATGCCTCCCAAAGTGCTGGGATTACAGGTATGAGTTGCCATGCCTGGCCTGGTTATCTTTCTAAAGCATAAGGCAACCCTGTTGATTCTCTGCTTAATTTTGATGATTAAGTAGTATGTTCAATATATAGAAATCCATGTATTCATAATGATCTTTAAAAAAAGTAAAAGCCAGCTGGGTGCGGTGGCTCAAGCCTGTAATCCCAGCACTTTGGGAGGCCGAGGCGGGTGGATCACGAGGTCAGGAGATCGAGACCATCCTGGCTAACATGGTGAAACCCCGTCTCTACTAAAAATACAAAAAAAACTAGCTGGGCGTGGTGGCGGGCGCCTGTAGTCCCAGCTACTCGGAGGCTGAGGCGGGAGAATGGCGTGAACCCGGGAGGCAGAGCTTGCAGTGAGCCACTGCACTCCAGCCTGGGAGACACAGCGAGACTCCGTCTCAAAAAAAAAAAAAAAAAAGTAAAAGCCAAAATATCAGCTACTCATCCCATACCATTGAAAGTAGTGACCGATTCCTGAAAATTGGCACAAAAAAAAAAGGGGGGGGGGGGAAAGAATAAGGTATTTATCTTGCCTTTCTAGTATAAACTGTAGTTCAAAATAACTGATGAGAGGAAGGTTTTGTTTGTTTTTTGAGACCGAGTCTCACTCTGTCGCCCAGGCTTGGTGCGATCTTGGCTCACTGCAACCTCTGCCTCCCAGGTTCAAGCAATTCTTGTGCCTCAGCCTCCTGAGTAGCTGGGATTACAGGCACCTGCCACCACTCCCAGCTAATTTTTGTATTTTTTTTTTAGTAGAGACGGGGTTTTACCATGTTGGTGAAGCTAGTCTCGAACTCCTGACCTCAGGTGTTCTGCACACCTAAGCCTCCCAACCTGCTGGGATTACAGGCATGAGCCACTGCTCAGCCCAGGAGTTTTTTTTTTTTTTTTTTTTTTAATAGATTAACAGCTAGTAAATGTGAAAAGAATGATAGAAAAATCACCATTTTGCATGTCCCAATGAAATAATCCAGGCAACAATCACCAGTGGATGAAATCCCTAAAGAGCTTTTAGGAAACTTTGAAATGCCTGGACCCACTCATCACTGAAAATGAAACCACCAGTCATTGTTTGCCTCCTGGTGTGAAGCAATATAAAGCACACAGAACCACTTATTAAACATTGTTGCCCAAAAAGTTGAATACAGCATTTAGGGGCCAGGCGCAGTGGCTCATGCCTGTAATCCCAGCACTTTGGGAGGCCAAGGTGGGTGGATAATCTGAGGTCAGGAGTTCAAGACCAGCCTGGCCAATGTGGCGAAACCCCGTCTCTACTAAAAATACAGAAGAAAATTAGCCAGGTGTGGTGATGCACACCTGTAGTCTCAGCTACTCGGGAGGCTGAAGCAGGAGAATCGCTTGAACCCGGGAGGCGGAGGTTGCACTAAGCCGAAATCACGCCATTGCACTCCAGCCTGGGCAACAGAGCAAGCCTCTGTCTCAAATAAAAAAAAGAAAAGAAAAAAATACAGGACATAGGGAACGAGTTAAATGACAACATAAGAAAGTAAACAGTCAAATCTAGAATGCAGAACCTTTCCTATGACAACATGGCTTCTACAAGCCAATGTCAATATGAAAAGGGGAGAGGAGACTGCTTTTTAAGAGATGTCACCAAATGTAATGTGTGGATTTGTTTGGATCTTGAGTCAAACTGTAAGTCATTTTTCAGCCAAGGAAATTTGATTATGGATTCAATACTCAGAAAGTGTAATTTAATAAGTGATATTATGGTAAATTTCCATATTTTCTCTTTTTTTTTTTTTTTCTGAGACGGAGTCTCACTCTGTTGCCCAGGCTGGAGTGCAGTGGTACGATCTCGGCTCACTGCAAGCTCCACCTCCCGGGTTCACACCATTCTCCTGCCTCAGCCTCCCAAGTAGCTGGGACTACAGGCGCCCACCACCACGCCTGGCTAATTTTTTGTATGTTGTTTAGTAGAGATGGGGTTTCACCGTGTTAGCCAGGATGGTCTCGATCTCCTGACCTCGTGATCCGCCCGCCTCAGTCTCCCAAAGTGCTGGGATTACAGGCGTGAGCCACTGCACCCGGCCAATTTCCATATTTCTTAAGAGACATTGAAGTTATAGGAGTGAAATGATATAATGCTTGGATTTGATCTAAAGTAACTTAATTAAGGAAAAACACAGTGGCTCACGCCTGTAATCCCAGCACTTTGCGAGGCTGAGGCAGGCGAATCACCTGAGGTCGGGAGTTCAAGACTAGCCTGACCAACATGGAGAAACCCAGTCTCTACTAAAAATATGAAATTAGCCAGGTATGGTGGCACATGCCTGTAATCCTAGCTACTTGAGAGGCTGAGGCAGGAGAATCGCTTGAACCCGGGAGGTGGAGATTGAAGTGAGCTGAGATCCCGCCATTGCACTCCAGCCTGGGCAACAAGAGTGAAACTCTGTCTCAAAAAAAAAAAAAAAAAAAAAAAATGGAAAAACAACAAAAGGAGAATGTGAATGTGGCAAATTTGGTAACTGTTGCATCTGGTCATGGAGATTCTTTGTATAGTTCTACTTTTATGCTGCTGAAAAATTTTTGATAAAACCAACAAAGCACATGTATACCTACATAACAAACCTGCCCATTGTGCACATGCACCCTAGAACTTAGAGTATTAAAAAAAAAAAAAAAAATCTAGGCCGGGCGCGGTGGCTCAAGCCTGTAATCCCAGCACTTTGGGAGGCCGAGACGGGCGGATCACGAGGTCAGGAGATCGAGACCATCCTGGCTAACTAACATGGTGAAACCCCGTCTCTACTAAAAAAATACAAAAAACTAGCCGGGCGTGGTGGCGGCGCCTGTAGTCCCAGCTACTCGGGAGGCTGAGGCAGGAGAATGGCGTAAACCCAGGAGGCGGAGCTTGCAGTGAGCTGAGATCCGGCCACTGAGGAGAATGGCAACCCAGGAGGCGGAGCTTGCAGTGAGCTGAGATCCGGCCACTGCACTCCAGCCTGGGCGACAGAGCCAGACCCGTCTCAAAAAAAAAAAAAAAAAAAAAAAATCTGACAAAACAGTTGGGTGCCGGGCATGGTGGCTCACGCCTGTAATCCCAGCACTTTGGGAGGCTGAGGTGGGCGGATCACGAGGTCAGGAGATCAGGACCATCCTGGCTAACACGGTGAAACCTCATCTCTACTAAAAATACAAAAAATTAGCCAAGCGTGGTGGCAGGCACCTGTAGTCCCAGCTACTCTGGAGGCTGAGGTAGGAGAATGGCGTGAACCTGGGAGGCAGAGCTTGCAGTGAGCTGAGATCACGCCACTGCACTGCAGCCTGGGTGACAGAGTGAGACTCTGTCTCAAAAAAAAACCCAAAAAACAAAACAAACAAAAAAAACGGTTGGGTGCAATGGCTGACGCCTGTAATCCCAGCACTTTGGGAGGCCAAGGTGGGTGGATTGCTTGAGGTCAGGAGTTCAAGACCAGCCTGACCAACGTGGTGAAACTCCATCTCTACTAAAAATACAAAAATTAGCTGGGTGTGGTGGCGGGCACCTGTGATCCCAGCTATTTGGGAGGCTAAGGCAGGAGAATCGTTTGAACACAGGAGGCGGAGGTTGCAGTGAACCGAGATAGTGCCATTGCACTCCAGCCTGGGAGATGAGTGACTGTCTCAAAAAAAAAAAAAAAAAAAAATCAATAATACACATATATACTCAATAGATAACTCTCCATTTTAAGCTAACCAGTGGTTGGACTCACAGTCTGGCCCCAACTTACCTTTGCAGTTTGATCACTCAACAGTAAGCCTCAGTTCTAGCCTCACCTTTCTATGTGACACTTTTACATTGGCCACTCACTTTAAGGCCTATTCTTTGTGTTCAAGCTGTTTCTTCTTCTTTTTTTTTTTTCTTCCCCAACTGGGCAATTACTTATCTTTCAAGGACTAGGTTAGATGTGACTTGTGAAGTTTTCACCAATCTTTCGTTCATACTACTACTGGGTTACCTCATACTGTAGATATTATCTTCGTATACCATGGTAAGTACTCCTTAGGGTAATATAGCACAAAAGGGCACAATCTCTAGATCCAGACTGCCTGAGGTCACATCCTCGTTTAGCTACTGACTAGCTCTGTTACCTAGGGCAAGTAACTTAAATCTGTCTGCCTTGGGTAAGTAACTTTTTCTGTGCCTGAGCTGTGTTGCCTTGGGCAAGCAACTTCACCTTTGATGCTTCCATTATCTCATCTGTAAAATTGCATTTACTTCTTAGAGTTGTATTATTATTTTTATTTTTAGAGATGGAGCGTCGCTTTGTTGCCCAGGCTAGAGTGCAATGGCGCGATCTCGGCTCACTGCAATCTCCATCTCCTGGGTTCAAGAGATTCTCCTGCCTCAGTCTCTGGAGTAGCTGGGATTACAGGCACGTGCCACCACACCCAGGTAATTTTTGTATTTATAGTAGAGACATCAGAGTTTCATTGTGTTGGCCAGGCTGGTCTCGAACTTCTGACCTTAGGTGATCTGCCTGCCTCGGCCTCCCAAAGTGCTGGGATTACAGGCATGAGCCACCGCACCCAGCCTTCATAGAGTTGCGTTAATCTTCCTAAAGGGGTAGGAATGGGTTCAGAACAGTTTCTGACACACAGTAAGTATTCAACCAATGCTAATTTATAAGGTTAGGACTCTTTTGAGACAGGGTCTCACTCTGTCACCCAGGCTGGAGTTCAGTGGTACGATCATGGCTTACTGCAGCCTCTACCTCTTGGGCTCAAGCAATCCTCCTGCTTCAGCCTCCTGAGTAGCTGGGACAACAGATGAGCACAACCATGCCCAGCTGATTTTTATTTTTTGCAGAGACAGGATTGCTGTGTTGCCCAGGCTGGTCTCAAACCTCTGGGTTCAAACAATCCCCCTGCCTTAGCCTCCCAAAATGCTGAGATTACAGGAATGAGTCACTGCGCCCAGCCCAGGACTATTTGTTCTCATATTCCTCCTCATACCTAGTTTAGTATCTGGCATGTAGATGCTCAGTGAATGATTGATTTGGGTAGTTTTGGTTCTTTATACGGACCTTCAGGTTAGCCCCAACGCACTGGCATGGAGCTAGTTACCTGAGCAGGTCTTCACAAAGGTCTGAGGTTAGTAGCAGGTGATAAAAGGGGTTGTGGAGTCTGGACTCCTAACTTAAGTGGTGGAGATGCTAAAAGAGAAACAAAGGCAGCATAGGGACTATGGCATTTATTAACCCTGTGTTTTCCCCCTCACTGGTCACTGCTCTTGACTCGTAGAACAACAGGTACAGAACTGCAAGGGATCATCCCCAGCTCTGTGATCACCAGATCCACAAGCTCTGGGGGAGTCACATCATAGACTAGATTCAACAACCGTAGGGATGCGTGGTTCTGCCAGTTAGCCAGTGCGACATGTTCTCCCCGTTTACACTGCAGATCATCAGGGTCATCTGCAATGGAAGGTGTACCCATTACGTTCTTTTAGAAAAGAAGTTCTAGTTTATCCGCCCCTCTCTCTCACTCTCAAGTCTTCACAGGTAGCTGGAGGCTTCTCTTTTGCCCTACTTACCTAGCTCATTAGAGACAAAGGCATCAGTCTGCACACGCTCACAGAACTTGTATGTTTCACAGCAAACCAGCACTGGTACATTATGGGCTCGAGCCACTAGGGCTAACTGTGCTGTCCCTACCCGTGACATCACAGACCCGTTGGCCAAGAGTGCATGAGCTCCCAATAGCACCTTGGAAACCTGTTTGTTTCACAGGAGAAGGGGAAGAGAAAAAATGTCATTGTTGTATCAATGCAGAATAAAGTCCCCTACTTACAGGACAGCAACATTAAGACAAGTAATAAATCTCAACATGGCCGGGCGTGGTGGCTCAAGCCTGTAATCCCAGCACTTTGGGAGGCCGAGACGGGTGGATCACGAGGTCAGGAGATCGAGACCATCCTGGCTAACACGGTGAAACCCCGTCTCTACTAAAAAAATACAAAAAACTAGCTGGGCGAGGTGTCGGGCGCCTGTAGTCCCAGTTACTCAGGAGGCTGAGGCGGGAGAATGGCATAAACCAGGGAGGCGGAGCTTGCAGTGAGCCGAGATCGTGCCACTGCACTCCAGCCTGGGCGACAGAGCAAGATGCCATCACAAAAAAAAAAAAAATCTCAACACCTGTGAAAAGAAGGGAAGGAAACAAAAACAAAGAGACAAGTAATAAATCTTTTTGTTTTTTGAGACCAAGTTTCACTCTTGTTGCCCAGGCTGGAGTGCAGTGGCACGATCTCGGCTCACCACAACCTCCGCCTCCTGGGTTCAAGTGATTCTCCTGCCTCAGCCTCCACAGTAGCTGGGATTACAGGCACACACCACCACTCCCAGCTGATTTTTTGTTTTTTTAGTAGAGACGGGGTTTCTCCACGTTGGTCAGGCTGGTCTCAAACTCCCAGCTTCAGATGATTTGCCTGCCTCGGACTCCCACAGAGATAGGATTACAGGCGTGACCCACTGGGCCTGGCAAGTAATAAATCTTAATCATGGCTTTTCTTCTGTGAAAACATCTTAATGATGGCTCTTCCTCTGTGAAAACACCTGACCACTGACCCATCAAATCTCCCACAGGAAAACTAAACTTTGAAGTTACTTTTGTCTTGTTCCCTCTTCCTGGTTGCTAGTTTAATGTAATGTTTTTGCAATAGCTAGACTGCTGTAACATACTGTCAGTGTTTTTCCAATTAAATATAAACAGGGCTATGTAATTTTTTGTCTTGACACAGGGTTTCACTCTGTCGTCGCCCAGGCTGGAGTGCAGTGGTGCAATCACAGCTCACTGCAGCTCCCGGGCTCAAGCAATCCTCCCATCTCAGCCTCCTAAGTAGCTGGAACTACATGCGCATGCACCATGCCCAGCTAATTTTGTATGTTTGTGTGTGTATGTGTGTGTGGAGACAGGGTCTCATTATGTTGAGCAGGCTGGTCTTGAACTCCTGGGCTCAAGTGATCCTCCTGCGTTGGACCCCCAAAGTGCTGAGATTGCAGGCGTGAGCCATGGCGCCAAGCCAGGACTATATAATTCTAATACTTTTAAATAACTGTGGCTGGGCACAGTGGCTCATGCCTATAATCCCAGTACTTTGGTAGGCTGAGACAGGGGAACTGCTTGAGCCCAGGAGTTCCAGCCTGGGCAACATAGCAATATCCCATCCCTACAAGAAAAATAAAAACTAGCTGGGCGTGGTGGTGCACACCAGTAGTCCCAGCTACTCAGAGGCGGAGGTGGGAAGATCACCTGAGCCTAGGAGGTCAAGACTGCAGTGAGCTGTGATCACGCCACTGCACTCCATCCTTATCTCAAAACAAAAACAAAACTAACTTTGAGAAGGTGAGATTACGTCTATACTACTACACCTTTTTACCTCCAACTTTGGAGTCCTTTTCCTCTGTACTCACCTCTGGGAGCACATAGGAGACTGCAGGAATCAGCAGGTAGGAGGCTGGAACACCAGCACGGACTAGAGAATGTAGCGTGTGCCTTCCTTCCAGCCGTGGCCGGCTGTCCACCACTACCACCCGAAATCGCCGGCCCTCTGTCCAAGCCTCCTGAAGAATTCGTGATACCAGAGATGAGCTAGAGGGAATGAAGAGGAGGATTCAGTTATAAATGTCAGTAACTGATGACTAACTTATTCCCAACTTATTCCCAAAGGCAAATGGGTAGTCCCTTCTTCAGATCATTCCAACTCCCCAATTTGCTCAGATACAGGGTCTGGACCATACCATCCATATACCAGGATCACATCTCCATTACTGATCTTCTGGTAAGCAAAGCGTGAAATTGCCTGAGCTGCAAGCACAATCTTCTCTTGCACATACCGGTCAATGGCTGCTTGAAGTTCTGACTTGGCCTAAATGGAGCAAAATCCTTAGTGAACAAGAAATGGACACTTTTATCCCACTGATGATCATGCCAGGTGCTTGAATATGTGTATGATGACAGGTCCATAGAGGGCCCAGAGATGGCACAAGTCAGAATGCCCAAACCCTTCCTTAACCCTTGACTAGGGCAAAAAAAAAAAAAGGCTTATGTTGGCCTTCCCGGGGGTTTTGAACATGTTTCTTAATTCTACCCACAGGTGCATGCCTTCCGTATTTCTCATACTCATCACCTCCTCTTCCCGCTTGGAACTGCCCACACTGGTGATTTCCTTGTTAAGGAACTTGATGGCGTTGTGCATGCTCGCTGACAGGGGACGGCACTGAGTCAGAAAGCTGTAATACAACAGCAATACCTTACGTCTGTGCAACTCTTCACAACTTACAAAGCTTTCACATTAAAAAAAAAAAGTCTTTAAAAAGAAAACAGAACAGAAAATGAAAATAGAGATAGAAAAGCACGAAAAAGAGTACAAGACAAAGATTGGGTGAGGTGGGAGTGGACTTATAGTGTTATTCCTACCTCATGTAGGGTTTTAGTTTATTCACTAGATCCCTGGAGAGTTCTTCATTGGGTGGTGTTGTGTAATCCTGAATCACCTATAGGGTACACAAGGTGATCTGCAAAACGCCCCTTAATAAAGATCTCTGAACGGGGGCTGGGGATAAGCTTCACTGAAGAAAATGTTCTGAGGGTGGGAGTATTCCCTCTGTCCCCCAGAGGTGACCTTGGGTGACAGAGAAGCTGGGGTAGTGTTGGGGGAGGTGGGGTTGGATTGTAAGAGAGAACAGGATAGGACATACCTGCTGCAAGGCACGAAGCAGGGCAATACACCGGGCATTGGAGCCACTGACCAGGCCCTGGGAGTACTGCAGGCCGAGTCGCACCATGGCTGGGTGGATCACAGAGGATGGGATGCTGATGGGATGGCGGTGTCACATACTTCGAAAGGGAGCTTGAGCATCTACTGCCCTGCCCACCTGCCCCTAATGAAAAGGAACTTCCTTCACTAGCAGATTTCCCCTCTTCTTCTACAGTTCTGCCTTGGGTTCATACTTCTTCCTGCAGAGCCCACCTTACTAGACACTTTCTTTTTTTTTTTTTTTTTGAGACGGAGTCTCGCTCTGTCGCCCAGGCTGGAGTGCAGTGGCTCAATCTCGGCTCACTGCAAGCTCTACCTCCCGGGTTCCCGCCATTCTCCTGTCTCAGCCTCCCGAGTAGCTGGGACTACAGGTGCCGCCACCTCGCCCGGCTAGTTTTTTTTGTATTTTTTTAGTAGAGACGGGGTTTCACCGTGTTAGCCAGGATGGTCTCGATCTCCTGACCTCGTGATCCACCCGTCTCGGCCTCCCAAAGTGCTGGGATTACAGGCTTGAGTCACCGTGCCCGGCCCTTACTAGACACTTTCAATACTGACTTACTAAAACTCCTCAGACTCAAAAGTTATGACGATCTCATAGGATCCTACCTCATAAACTGGGTCAGAGAGTTTTGTCTGCTGTACTGGGGTAGGTGAGAGAAGAGACTGACTTTGGATCCATAATCCTTTCGTGTAGGAACCTTGACAAAACAAGGAAACAGGACCAATGGCCCAGAGTTTAAAAATGATGAGATAAAGCTGGAAAGGAAGTGAGCAGTAAGACTACTCTGACCCAAGCACCCATCCTTCTCACTTTGCACCCAGCACCTTTCCTCCCTCCAGTCCATTTCCCTAGTCTCTTTCTACCCAGGCACCAAACCCACTTCCTACCTGTTGACGCTCTGGTTTTTTAACAAGCCTTCTCAGAAGCAGGTCATCAACCTGAGGGTACTCAGGGAGACGCTTCACTCCTGAAAGATAATGATCATGTTTTCAGGACACTGTAGGTCTTGAAATATGTAATTTGCTCTTAGGGTATAAGGGGCATCAAGAAAAACAGGATGAGGTGGGGAAAACAAGGGAGAATAGAGTAGAAAAGGAAATAGGGATAGGATGATGGGAAGAATTCAGAACTCTGGATTCCAAGGTGAGAATGAGAGGCGAGAGCTGTTTTACTACAGGGCAGCCTGAGCTGGTGTTAGAATTAGGAGTAAGGGAGGTCTTAAAATGAAGGGAAGATACCTGAGGGGGTCTCTCCAGCTGTGCTGGGGCTGGCCTTAGGAGGTGGTCCTCCTTGTTCCCCTTTTCTTGCCTGTTTCAGGGCCCGCTCAGCCTCCTGCTTGGCTCGACGCTCAGCCCGAAGTTCAGCCTTACTCCGACCAGCTGGAACTTTCTCCCCAGGAGTGCCCAACTGAATGCCTGATTCTGGCAGTTCTCTGGTTGGGCCTACTAAAAGCATTAAAAAAAAAAAAACAAAAAAACACAGGTGCCCAAGATGCAGGCAGGCAATATCCGTGTCCCAGCTAAAACTAGCTTCTCTCCTTGTAAACCTCTTTGCTTTACACACTTGCTCAAATCAACTTTGTCCTGTCTCTCCCTTCTCTCTCCCACCACATCCCTCTACCAGCTCCACACCCCAGCCCTTTAAAAAAGACCCCGCACCTTGACATTGGGCTGCAGATACAGCAGAGCCAGTTTCTGGTTCTGCCCCCTTTTCTTCCTTCCGTTTCTTCTTCTGCTGTTTCTTTTCCTTCCGAAGCTGCAGCTTCTCTTCTTTGGTCATTTCCCTCCCCACTGCCTGAGACACAGACATAGGATACTGCTCTTCCCCAACAATTCCAAAGGGGAACAAACACTATTGGATGCTTACGAATACATGGTTAAATCCTTAGTTCTCCCTAACTTCCACAAGCTACCTGTTACAAGCTTACATCCACAGAGACTGACGTTTCTCCTCCAGGGACAGAATCATATATTGCTAGAGTTGCAAGACCGCTGTAAAATCTCCTGGCTTTACTGAGAAATAAACTGACACGGGATGGGAGCTGGGGCGGAATAAAGCTGGCACAGCCTCCTGCGTAGCGCTTGGCAGGCGGCTTGGGAGGGAAGCCACACTTACCCCAGGCCCAGGGCGAAGCTCCGCCTTCATCCCGGATCCCGAGTCTGCATCAGAAAACAGGGCACAAAGTGAGCCAGACAGACTCCGGGAGGGCTTGGGGGCACTAGCACTCGGCGCAGCCGGCTGCTGGGTTAGCATGACCATGGCTCCGCCGGCAGGCGCGAGGCGAGCCAAAGATCCGCGTGGGGACGCACTGCGCGGTGGATCAAAGGAAAGGAGGGGTCACCGATCCTCCTCACAGGAACCAGCCGGAGCACGGCGCGGGACTGCGCTAGAGACTGTGTAGACCGGCGCCCAGCGTGGCGCTGGAACGGAGCGGCGGGGCCCAAAGGCGCTCAGGGCCCGGCCCTAGCTGTCCGGGGCTCGTCGGCCTGCGTACCGGTAGGCAGGCCTGGCTCTTCACTCACCCTCGCGAACAGCCACGGCCACAGCAGCCATCGCCCTCAGTCCTAGGCTCCGCCCGTCTGGTCACGGAGCCGCCCCGCTGCCTCGCTCCGTGGCCGCTGGGTCCACAGCGCCACCTGGGCTGGAGGCTGAGCCGCCAAAGCAGGACGCGCAGCCCTAATCGGACTACAATTTCTAACGGGCCCCGGGCCCCCGCCCCGCACTACGGGTTGCAATGAGGGTCAACTCCACTTTGGGCTCCTTGTCCCGAGAGAGGCTCTTGCCCTTTAGACTACAGTTCCCAGCATGCCCGGGCTACTGCGTCCCAGAACCGACGTCCCACCGCCTTCCCACATCGAATCGCAGGGCTCCCAAAATGGCGAGTGAGGCTGCGGGGACTCGCTGAGCAGCGGAGGGGGAGCGTGCAGAGCCGCTGCGGCCCTCACAGTCCGGAGCCCGGCTGGGCCGTGCCGTAGGGAACATGCACTTTTCCATTCCCGAAACCGAGTCCCGCAGCGGGGACAGCGGCGGCTCCGCTTACGTGGTGAGGAGCGGCCGGAGCCGGGCCGGGCAGGGGCGGGGATAACGGGCCCGAGCCTTCTCGGAGCGGCGTCCGAGGCCTGACCGCCACCCTTCGGGCCTGGTCCTGGGCCGCCGACTCCCGACGGCCTCTCTGGGAGCTCATCTCGTGTGTGTGATTGGTCGCCCGAGCTCCTGTAGGGTAGGCCCTTAGGCCGGGTCGCCTCCCGGAGCTAGGCCCCAGCTGCCCTGGTGGGCGTCACTGGCCTCTTGGGCAGGGAGACTGCAACACAAGCGTCCGAATTTCCCCCGGACTGGCTCTTCAGCTTTGGGACCTGGCCCTGGGGAAAACAAGCGAACTAACCCTTGGGAGATTAGCGCGTTACTCCGGCGGAGTTGCCAGGCAACTTCCGGCCAGGGTTCTCAAGGGGGTTGCTCAGACCGCAACCCTAAAATGCTTGACTACTTTTGTGTCCTCAGGCCTATAACATTCACGTGAATGGAGTCCTGCACTGTCGGGTGCGCTACAGCCAGCTCCTGGGGCTGCACGAGCAGGTGGGACTAGCACCCCTGCCTTGAGACAGCTTCAAGCCCTTCCCTACACGTGGGCATCAGTGTCTCCCTTTACCTGCTCTTCTTGTTCCCGTAGACTGTAGTTCCCCTTTAATCACTGCCACAGGGAAGGGTCCTGGTTTATCTTGTTTAACATTTCCGGGAACTCCCTAAGAAGCTTAATGTCCGCGCAACAACTGCCCCTTCCTGTCCTTATATCCTGGTTCTCTGTCCTGTCTTACTGCCCTAGTAGCCTTTACCCCTGCATGGGCAAACCAACCCTTCCCCCCGACTACCTCCACCTAGGCTGTCAAAGCATATTTCTTCTGTCATCTGAGCGGCAACTTGAAGTTATTTTCCCTGTTTATACAAACGATTCACCGATTTCCTTTTGTGTTCTTTGGCTCATTTCAGTGTGTTTAGCTGTGCCAATTATCGTTATGTATCTGTGATGCAATGTTTCTTCTCCTTTCTTACCAGATCATAAACTAGAGTTCTACTGATAATTAGTTATGCAACCCTGAGGAAGTTACCTGATTTATTTTTTATTTTTCATTTTTTGAGACGGAGTTTCCCTCTTGTTGCCCAGGCTGGAGTGCAGTGGCACGATCTCGGCTCACAATCTCGGCTCTGCCTCCTGGGTTCAAGCAATTCTCCTGCCTTAGCCTCCCAAGAAGCTGGGATTACAGGCGCCTGCCGCCACACCCGGCTAATTTTTGTATTTTTAGTAGAGACAGGGTTTCATTGTGTTGACCAGGTTGGTCTCAAACTCCTGACCTCAGGTGATCCACCCACCTTGGCCTCCCAAGATGCTGGGATTACAGGCATGAGCCACGGTACCCAGCTGTTACCTGATTTCTTTGGGCCTCGGTTTCTACACCTGAAAGATGGATTCTTTGATCTGCAGAGTCCCTTTAAGTCCTAAGATACTTTGTGAACAGACTTAACTATTAACTCTGCACTTTATAAAGCCCTTTCCTTCCTGTGAGGGTTCAGTGAACAGTCTTGCTAGGTGGTCAGTGGGCTCCCAATAGGTCCCGGCCCAGTACAAATCCTCCCCATACTGTGGAGGGGCCGACTTGTACACAACAAGATAGAGAACAGCTTATATCTAGGACAGCTCCCTTGAGATGCTACCTCTGTCAAAGGAATTGTTTCTCAGATGACCAGGGTAGACAGGGGAGCAGGGACCGAGGGAAGGGAGGGACACCCAAGAGAACATTATGAGCATATGTAGATTGCCGCATCTCATTTTCTGTGTTTATGTGAAGGGTTGTATCTCTTTCTCTAAATAGCTTCGGAAGGAGTATGGGGCCAATGTACTTCCTGCATTCCCCCCAAAGAAGCTTTTCTCTCTGACTCCTGCTGAGGTAGAACAGAGGAGAGAGCAGTTAGAGAAGTACATGCAAGCTGGTGAGTGGTTGCAGGAAACTAGGTTGACTATATTGAGGACTATGGGGAGAGACTTAAAAACAGCTGGTTCTGTAGAAGGGCCTGATTTAATTTCTAGATCTGGGAAGCCTCTTGTTTGATCTGTTACGCAATTAGC